TCTTCTTTCAGAGAAACTAAGTGTGGAATATTTTACTGTCTTGAATGCTTTCTAGTAAGTAACAAGTAAATAATAATGTAGACATTTAGTCAATAACTGGAATTTTCAAACAAAAGTTTTATTGATATAATATTGTAATGTTCGTGGGCTTAACAAAATTAACTTCTAAGACTGATAACGACAAAAACTATTTATTTACACTAATTATTAAAGAACTTAAAAACACTATTAAATTATTACTAAACTTAGGTTACGAATTATTCTATTTATTTACACTACTGTTGATATATCACTATTCACTGCGCTATTTATTTCACTGCTATCACTGTCAATTTATTTCTCCATTCACTTCTAAGACTGATAACGACAAAAACTATTTATTTACACTAATTATTAAGGAACTTAAAAACACTATTAAATTATTACTAAACTTAGGTTACGAATTATTCTATTTATTTGCACTACTGTTGATATACCACTATTCACTGCGCTATTTATTTCACTGCTATCACTGTCAATTTATTTCTCCATTCACTTCTGCAACGGTCAATTGATTTCTCCTTCCTCTCGGCGATCGTCTCTTCTTTTAAATACTCTTTTGTTTACTTTCGGGAACCTTCTGGAAACATCTGCATAGTTTATTTTTTCTTTGAACTGTTTAACTGCTTTCCCAGAACGCAGGTACGACACACACATTTACAAATACGGTGCACATGAAGAAAGGCGTCCGCGGCTAGTCGGCGAATCGATAAAGCGCTCACGCACACGTATGCCCCATCGCACACAAAGACACTCGTGCTCGCTACAATATATTAAAACTGTTTTTAATTCTCAGAAATATTTTATATATTTCTACACTGAGTTGATTAGCTCGAACATACGCACATAATGTATCTACGAATTCAAACGAAAAATGACCAAGACTAGTTTGAATATCCGGTTTGTTATTCAACGCAACGATGTGGTTGAAGAGAACTAATATTTTATGTACGTTGCGTTAAAATCGGTATTCTGAAATTCATTCAGGATGAAGGTATCCATGTAGCGAGACAATGGCTTTCCGGACGATGAGCTGTCCAGCATCCAGACACGCTACATGAAACACCACATAAATTTGTTTCATTTACATTCATACTTTCGCGTGACAAGAGCATGTACCTACACAGAAATTCAAGTAGAAAAACGACATTACCCACAGAATCAGGTGGCCAGGTATTTTTTCCACATCTAAATGATGTATTGTACACAACTTTACGTGAATCCTCACTCGGGCATAACCAAATACAAAAATTTTGAAATGATTTGTTGTATGGCAAGATGCTACAACAAGTTTGAAATTAACACCTTTTTAGATCATCATCATAAGGTCGTCAGTCCTAAGACTAGTTGGACACGCACCTCCACTCTTTCCTATCCACAGTTAGTCTTCGCATTTCCCTAAAACTAGAACAACCCACATCATCCTTAACTATTTACGAACAGTAATCTAATCTAGCCCTCTAACTTCCCTAGCTTCATACCTTAGAAGATGTCCTACCAACCTATCTCTCCTTTTTCTTATTGACTCCTACACAGTCCGCTGTTCTCCTATTCTTTCTAATACCTCTTCATTTCTAACCTTCCCTATCCACGGTATCCTCATCATTCGCATGTAACACCACATTTCCAAATCTTCTAACCTTTTCTTTTCCGTCGTGCCCACTGTCCATATTTCGCACCCGTACAGCGTCGCGCTCCAAACACACCTTTAGCAATCTTTTTCGAATTTCTAAATTAACCGTTCTCGAGTACAGAAGTGTCTGCTTTTTATTGAAAGCGACACGACCCTGCGCTATCCTCTGCTTTATATCCCTACCAATCCTTCCGCCCTGACCGTTTTGGATAGGTAAAAAAATTAGTTCCCATTAAGAAGTTTGTCAAAGCCATGAGATGTGAATCAAGATATTAAACACAGCACATCATCTAACAAATTTTGCTACCTTGGAATAAAACAAAAGAGCGAAGTATCTCGATTTAAATGGCAGGATATCTTATGTAGTTTGAAACGTCTCTGTATTACAATATTCATGAACTCTGGCAAGATCTCCTTGCCAATAGACTTGCTAAATAGGTGTTAAAAGAGAAGCTCCTTGCGTCCCATGAATATTGCAGTATAGCCGTGATTGCACTGCAATTAAGAACCATCATGGTACCATACAATTATTTCTAAAGTTACACAATTAGCCAACATGACTTTGTCTGGGCTCATAGAGAGTTATCTGCTGGCCGATTGAGTCTATTTAAGATGAAATCGTGAAATCTGGGATGTTCTTTTTAAGTTAGTTATTTCAAAAAGGCTGGTTTTGTATAAATTTCCGATATGGAAAAAATGTTCTATAACCTACCTCGCGTATTTCTAATTAACTTCCACAACGACCTCCATTTTTTTACCCCAAATAAATACTTCCTCATTTCCGACTTTTTCTATCCACGATATTTAATAACCCTTCTCAAATTTCCAAATTAAGCGATCTCGAGCACAAAAGTGATTTATTTTTATTAAAACTGCCCTGCGATATTCTTCGTTTTATATCTCTAGCGCTTTTTTCATCTTAAATGTAAAAAATTAGCGACTTCTTCTAGTTCATGTATTCTATTAGTAGTTTTGTCAATAAAGTTATTGGAGTGGTTCGGCAGTGTAACTATTTTTTTTTCTTCTTTCGGAGAAGACCTTAAGTACCTTATTAAAACTTGGACGTGACTACGGAAATAAGTCGCTATAACCACGAATCTCAAGAGGCATAACAGGTTTAAAAAGTTTTAAATTAATTTTTACGACAAAATCCAAACAAACAAACAAAAATTAATAAAAGCAAACTGCTCTCGCTGTGAAACGTGACGATAATAATATTGACGATGAACAAAGGAACCCATTGATTTTATATCAAAAATCTTCTATTATGATAGTTGGGTAGGTACTAGGATTAACTTGAATTTGATTCTTAAAATATCGATCAACTTAAAGTTTCAACAAACACTTGAAATCAACTTCATCCACAGAAAATCACCGACATAAACCAACCACTGGATAGAACTTGACGGTAGTACGTCCATACATTTGAAGGAAATAGGATAGGAAATGTTGTCGATTTCCGGTAAATATCTAAAGTAAACGCATTCCGGAAATTTTATTTCGTTGTTCAAACATAACTAGCAGAATTGGTCCCGCAAAATGGATTTGCGGTCTTACGAGACTCTCACCGATTAAGTAAACAGAACATTTCGTCCCTGGAAAGGTAGGTATCTCTAGTTAACTTCATGAATCCCTCTTTTATTTTTGTTATCAGATAAGAATACCCACCTCTGTTTCTGCTCATGGAACTAAAGGACCCTAAAAGCACAGTTTATTGAATTTTTTCCTTTATTGATCTGTATGCAAGGTAAATTATTACAGAAGTGACACTTTTATAATAGTGTAATTAATATTCTATCTCGAATTAAACAATATTTAGTTTTTTTTTGGATTTTTAATACGTGAATAATTGGAATAATTAATTAAGAAATTTAAGAATTTAACTATTAAAAAAATGNATCTTTTATTGGTGATTTAAATACATCGAGGCTTATATGGTAGTGCAATTATTAATTTTGAGGTCAATATTACGCGACAATAATTGTGAAATAATAATTTTTATATATCAGCCATTGACTGCTTTCTTTTACAACATTTTCTTTTCTAACAATAAAACCGTTAACCACCACCGAACTATGGCACCCTCAAGCCGCCTTATTATTGCGAACTGCTTCACCCTGTTTTTTACATTTTACATTAACTTCTCAGGCATGAAAGTCTAGTCAGAGACATACTAGAAACAGAAACAGAAGTTAGGAGGGGTAGAGCTAGACCTAGATTAGATTACTATTCGCAGATACCTATACAAAACTTTTCAGTCTCTCTCCAGTCTCTCAGAGTCTTTCAGCGTCTCTGAGAGCGTCTCTCATTTATTGCTTAGGTGTTTTCATGGATCTCTCATAATATCTGTATAAGAGACTCGAACCTCGAAGCCTGTCCCGGACTGTATTAAGCTTTTTATTAAAAATGAATTACGAAAATATGATTTGTGGTTTCTAAAATTACCCCTACTAACTAACCCTATAGTTTTTAATATTAGTTTAAAGGGATGTAATGACTAATAAAAATATGGTGTAGTATCTATTTAAATTGTACGTCTGCTTTCTTAGTTACTTAACTTTATTCTAAAAATCGGTAAATTATCTACATACTGCTTTGACATACGCATAACGTTTCTATGTAAATGTGTGCATAAAAAAGAGGAGCCCCAATTTTCATATTTTAGCGACAAGAGCGCTGTAATTCATTGTTCGGTGTATTTCCCGCAAACCATTGTGTAGCTGAAGCAACATAAGTTTCCTCACGAGGTTGCATTCACATACCTTGGCTCGAGTGGTGTTAGCGTATGAGAGGCAATTGGTAGACCGATTCACCACTAAACGTCACGAGGGTGTGCAAGTACTTAAGCAACGAGCAAGACAGGGAACTTGTAATTAGTGTTTATTTTTAGACACATCTGCTATTAACTTGGCAAACCCGGACTGCTGAAAATGCAATTTTCTCATTGAAACGTCCTTGTTAATGTTCAAACAAATACGGGTGAAATATTTCCTTGTATCTCAACCATCTTGAAGAGATTATTAAGGAAGAACGGACTTTTCATGGCACAAACATACATTTAATCTAAATTACTATCTTATTAACTGTTTTTAACTTAGAAACAGGGTGCAATAAATGATATAATCTCAGGCAGTTAATAGCAAATAATTTTGTTAAATTTTTGAAGTGCGATTGAAAAAGTGTCAGAAGTAACGCAGGGTGGTAATGCGGATGACCATCTTCAAGTAGCCTGATGAGACGATTCATTATTACATTAAATCAACTCATTTCAAAATAAATATAGAAACCGTTTTTCTCCATAAACTTATACTATTGTTTTCTTAAATACCTGTGAGAGCCTATAGGACCATTAGCCATTGAATTCTCCGTCTTCCTTAGGTGTCCTAACCGCGTCATTGTTTCACCAATTTCATGGAATTTCCTCAGGGCTCATCTGAAATAGAAAAGCTTTCAATTTAATTAAAAATTAAATACATGTTCCTACCTATTAGAACATATAATCGTAAAATATAGTTAAACACTTACAGCCTTTTTTTGGAAACAATCATGCCGTATTTTCAAAATATGAGAAAACATAAACTTGCTTCTTACCAATTTATGAAGTGGATAGGAGTTATTGAAAGGTATAAAACATTGAAAGCATTAAATGCGAGGCAAAGTTAAATAATAAATGCACGTATGGCTTGGCGAAAGACATTTCATATTTTATTTATAGTCGACTCGTAAAACCGTTATAATTTTATCGTTACACCGAATAATGCGCATCTATTCTTAAATAGATGACGTTGCTACAATTATTGCATAAATTATGATAATATACTAGCCATACATAGATATAACAATATCTAGGGGTTTGTTTACAGCGTCATAGAATGCAGAGTGCATCAGTAAGTACAAGCTCGATCAGAAGTAGGACTAATTTACTTTAGGTTATCCTGTTTTCCCTTTACAATTTCCTTTTGAATGCTACTATTTTGTACATTTGTTATTTCCTTTTTTCAATCTCCAAATGAGACGAAATCTTCATGATAAGGAAACAAAGGTGTATTTTATATTTACAAAACAGACTAGAGTTTGTGGTCTCCCGCTTGTTAACGTAACATATACAACCAACCCTAACATTTGTTTTTGAATTTCGTAATACGAAACGTTGAATTATTTACATGTGATGTGGAAATGGGCATTTGGTATACATATCGATCAAAGGGAAATACAGAAACAACTCCATCAGGTTAAAACATTTACATAAATTTGAAGGATCAGCAAGAACAGGTTAAATATTTTGTTTGAAAATACTACAAGCCTATCACGTTTTATTCACAATTTATTTCTCTTAAAAATTGTTTAACATGCTTATTGCATTGTGAACTATGGTAATAACTACTGCTTTATTATATTTTTCTCTGAAGATTGTTGTCGAAGAGCTCGTTGGTCAAAAGAAATTCACGATTTAGTTTTGAGAGTTCCTTGATGTGTTCTGCAATCTAAATAAGAATATGCCAATATTGTGATGGAATACAGCCATTCTGTTATTGATGTGACGTATGAAGGTTTCTTCAAAAATTGAATTTCCACCTGGCGTCGAAAGATTTCATTTTTCTCATAATGCATTCTGAAATATTCCATCCATCTTTTCACTTACAAGTAAACGCTAAAAAAAGCTTATCGACTCCTCACCGAATTTAACCTTAACCGCACTTTTTTGCACATAGTTTCTTAATGTATTTTCACAGACGATTAACGATAACAGGTACTCCTTTTAAAAGGAAAGGTTATTTAAACAGTTTGAGATATTAGAGGTACCACACGAACCATATTTTTATTCAAGTTCAAATTTAAACGCACTATTTAAGATCAGTTGTTTCTCTAAAATACATTAGGGAGATAATTTTAATTGATTTTATTTTCGTAAGGAGCTTTTAAGGTAAAATTTCATTTATTTTCACAAAATCTGTGCAAAAATCTAACTTTCCATTATGAATAATTGATGTCCGGCAAAGTAATACGCAGTTTTTGAAACTGTTGCTATTTTTTTTGTCAATAACGCGACCTTTATAAAACTAGGAATATATGTTCAAATTTTATTATTCAATTCGTTTTCACATTTGAATATTTGTCAGTAGCTTATTTAAATTTTATAATCTACGTTTGCCCAGCCACATCTTAAAATTCGTAGTCCTCGTGAGGTTGGACTTTAAATGAAATTTTTGAATATTCCAAATAATCGAAATATTTTTTGGTATATGTAGATAATTAACTTGAAAATGTCTTTCTAAAATGTTCCTGCAAAGTTAGGAAGAACTAAATAAACATTTTTTTTGTATTTTAATGTGTAATATGTGGCAATTTCAGACATTTTAGATTTTATTGAAAATCTGCACCAAAAACTTACTTCCCCTGTTAACGTTTAAATTATTGAACAGAATTCACCAAAATATTAGACGATTATTAATTATTAATTAGCGATTTTTAAGTAAGTAGAAGTGGAGTACGGAACAGTGCACAAATTAAGCTTACACATATATTTTCCTATTTAAATGTTAATCAAAATAGTACAGAACATTTTGCCACATATTATTCTTAAACTCATAGCTTTGCAGATATTTCATCGTTAAAACAGTTTACGTACGAAACGATTACGGTAATTACTGACGAAATCAATTCGATATCTGTTACGTCGCATCCCTAATGGAACAATTCCGGCTAATTCGTAAAGTTTGCGCGGCATTTTCCGCTTCCATGAATAAATTAATACGCCTCAAAAATCGTTTAAACAGCCGGATTAAAATTACCACAAATACGAATCCAATAATCTTCACGGCCAATTCGACCTTGTACTCGCAGAAGCCAGATCAGATTGATCAAAATAACATGTTCATCGTCATAAGGTCGTTCGTTCTAAGACTTCTGTTCTCTTATTCATTCTAATATCTCCTCATTTCTAACTTTTTCTATCCGCGGTATCCTCATCAATCGCCTGTAACACCACATTTCGAACGCTTCTAACCTTTTCCATTCCGCCGCGCCCACTGTCCATGTTTCGCACCCGTGCAGCGCCGCGCTCCAAACATACACCTTTAACAACCTCTTCCGAATTTCTAAATTAACCGTTTGTGAGCATAGAAGTAACTTTTTTTTATTAAAGGCGACACGACCCTGCGCTATCCTCTGCTTTATATCCCTACTACTCCTTCTGTCCTGACTTACCTGACTTCCTAGATACCAAAAAGCAGTCACTTCTTCTAATTTTTCGTCTCCTATCTTTACATTCGCTCTTTCCCTATTCTCCCTTACATACCAGTATTTTTGTTTTTGTTTTATTTATTTACATACAATACTGTTTTATCAATACCGCTTCCATTTTATTTAAAGCCACCTCGAAGTCCTCCTTGCTACTACTACATTTCATTATAAATCTAGGCATTATCTTTTACTAATCTTTTACCCCTGTATATTTATGTTGTCATGTCTTTAATGATTTTTATCGCGTCTTCAATGTATAGATTAAAAATTAGCGGTGACAATGTGCATCCTTATCAAAATATGATATTATTAATAAATATTTTTTTTAGATATAATAACAAAATTTCGGAATGTGGTTTGTACCCATACTTCCTAAAAAATGTTGTGCAAAAAAAAAGAAAGATGTAAAACTTTCCTTCTGATGGCAATAAACATGTTGTCCTTATTTACAAATTAAGGAAAAAGTTAGAAACTTTTTCAATTAGGGTTCTATATACGTTTGCAGAAGTGTTATCAGGTTCTTTCGTTTTTCAAACGCTAAATAACATCAAAGAAACGAAAGTGAGACGAACCAGTAACTGAAATTGCTTCCTTTTAATTGTATTACTTCGAAAGTTGTTTCTGTTGTTGGTGTAAAAGAAAATTTTCTTTTCATCTTCCAAGATTTTAACAGAGGCAACTCTCACAACTTTGGCACATAACCTTTCTAGATAAAGAGGCATTTCAAAATTTTACCCGTCCAGTCCCACTGGCATAATATTCTACTCTACGTTAAATGCCATCAAATGCATTGCAGTACTTACTCATAGATAACTTGTTCACAATACTTCAAAAGGAGGGGTATCTATCTACCATCTATGGTTTCAATGTATTTATCGATATCCTTCCCGTAAACAGTAATTACAACAACAGGGTCGGTAATAGTTTTTAAATAGTTACAGAAATTACGTTATAAATATAGTAGAAATTTTAGAAATCATGAACCGAATGTAATAATTCAATCCGAACTCAAAATGTAAAACTAATATTTTTTTACATCCATGATTTCCTTTTCCTTTCCAAAATAGCATCAATTTATATAAAAGCGAAAGAAATGGAAAGCAAGTCACCTGAAAATGAATTTTGCATCAGCTGCTTTAAGCTAAATTCAAAAGCTCGCTTTTGTACGAAAACTTTTTAATCTTATTCGAAAAGGTTCGGAACTTTTCCTTTTTTTTCCGTTAAAAATAAAGGTAAACACACGCCTCTCGAGACCTTTCCTCAATTCATTTCTCCGAGATAATAAAATCAAGCGGAAGCACGAATGTTTTCTCTATTGTGCGTGAGCTCTATGCGCTACACTTCACATTAATGTTTTGTACTCTTCACTGTTGGATTTAGAAGCTTTTAAAGACGAATGTTTTTCTACTAGTGGTCGGTCAACTGCAAGAAAAGACTTTTCAAGGCAGTGGGTATATATGTTGGCAAGTGTAAATACGTATCTTCCCATGATATTTAATAATTACCAACAATTCAGAGTCATTAAGGGGTGAAAAGCTATTTATTTATTGGATAACTAAAACCGACATAGATACTATTAGTTTTCGAACATTTTATCTTCAGCACTTTAAAAGCCGAAATCGTGATTAAGATGGTTGCTTATCGGTGAAACATATTTAAAAATAGTATGATGAATTAAAATACTGTGTTTCTAATAATAATATTTTAGGAATCTAGGAAGTCAGATAAGTCAGGACGGAAGGAGTAGTAGAGTAGTCACTTCTATGCTCGCTAACGGTTAATTTAGAAATTCGAAAAAGGTTGTTAAAGGAGTATGTTTGGAGCACGACGCTGTACGGGTGCGAAACATGGACAGTGGGCGCGGCGGTAAAGAAAAGGTTAGAAGCTTTCGAAATGTGGTGTTACAGACGAATGATGAGGATATCGTGGATTGAGAAGGTTAGAAATGAAGAGGTATTAGATAGAGTAAGAGAACAGAGGACTCTATGGAAGTCAATAAGAAATAGACGAGATAGGTTAATAGGATACCTTCTCAGGCATGAAGGTCTAGTCAGAGACATATTAGAGGCAGAAACGGAAGTTAGAAGGGGTAAAGGTAGACCTAGATTAGATTACTGTTCGCAAATAGTTCAGGATATGGGTTGTTCTGGTTCTAGGGAAATGCGAAGATTAACTAAGGATAGGAAAGAG